ACCTTGTAATCAAACTACAGGTCGCAATTTTGAAGATAATTCAATGAAATTTGGCACATGCTCTTCTATGGTACCGGAGACAAAGCCTATTAAATTGGTTAACATCGGTCCATTATTTCACCTAGCCCCCAACCCGACGAATAGGGCTTTTAAATTCATAATTATGTTTAATATACTCGTATCTCAACAAAAAGCTGCAACACCAAGTGCTATACTAGCCTTGATGACTCTCATGAATTTTATAATTATAGGCTCTCATTTGACCATAGCACCTTTACCAAGCCCCCTTCAAAATTTGACTTAAATGTCCACAATTTTATTCAACAATAAATGAGGCAAGGTACAATTCAACTTCAATGCTTTATTATGAAAACAAAATCACATTTCATTTTTGTAACAGGTGTAAGGTATTATATGGTCGGCCTCGCCCGACTATAATTTCTTACTTGTTAGTCTTCGAATACTTTTATTTGCTTTGTATTCAATGATTACTTAAATTAAATTTTGAAGTAAATAATAATACAACCCGTCTAAGTTTTATATTCGGTGTTATATTCGGCTGTGCCGTAAAAGGAATGCTTCCCTATAAACATCTGGGTAATATTACTCATCAAATTAACTGAAGAGGACTTTATATGAGAGATAGGGTTAATTATTGATCGTTTTTCATACAATTTTTCATAATTTGTTGTAGAGCGATTTTGGTTCATATAAAGCACATATATATATATCACATTCCGACACTTTCCGCTTAAAATTCGGTAGGAAGATTTACATTTCAATTTCATAATTGTTGACGTATTTTTAAGTCTGCTATGATCGTTAAAGTAATTTTATTATGAACCAATCCTCAATAAATTTGGTAGAAAGATTTTATCTCGTATAAAACATGTGTGTGTCGAATTTCATCGCTTTTCTCGTATTTCTACGCCAGAAATAAGCTTTTAATTTATTTTCTGAAGGGGAGCTTATATGGGGTCAATCATATGCAGATTCTCATAAAAGTCAGTAGAGAGGTTTTGGATAGTAAGAAACTTACTAATGTCGAATTTAAGCCAGTAATGAGCGTAAAAGTAATTATCTGAAGCTGATCTCATAGGGGGTAAGGTCAATTATGGACCGACCTACATAAAATTTGGTTAAGTGATTTTGGTTCGCAAGGAACTTACTCGGGTCGAATTTCATCGCTTTACTCGTATTTTTGAGCCAGTAATGATCGTTAAAGTCATTTTTTGAAGGGGTCCTTATATTGGTGGTAGGGTCAACTATGGACCGATCCACATAAAACATGATAAAGAGATTTTGGCTGGCATGAAACTTATGTATGTCGAATTGCAACGCTCGTATTTTAAAGCCAGTTGTTCACATCAGTGAACAATTGAACGTTACCAGCCCTGAAGTCCAATAGCACCCACACCAAACTGCAGCCAACTTCATTTTTATACGAACGTCAGCTGCAGTTTTTGCTTTTTTACTTACTTCTATTCAATCTATCTGAAGAAGAACAAACAAATCTGTGGCCTCGTTAACCCGGCAGTTTTAAAGTTAAAAATAATAACTTAAAAGGAAAACTACAAACCACAAATTTAAGTAAAAGTGTTTCAATGTATTATAAAAAATTTAAAATCCAAAATTAAAACTAAATATTTATTTCAATTTATAAAATAAATTTAAAACATTAAACATTAAGGCCCAAATAGACTACACAAGCGGCTTGACAAACATACCAATATTTTACGTTTGTGCAAGCCTGTTGTGTAGTGTATGAGGGTGTTTCCTGTTTGTACAAATGCTTGCTGTTTGTTTGTACAAAAATTAAAAAATTTTGATTTTTACACAAACATATTGAATTTTTGTCAAACCATTTGTATGGTTTATATTTAATAATAACAAATTTTTCAAAAAATTTACATTTCTAAGAAAAATTGACATCTGTATCTTTGAAAGTCCACAAAAACGTGAAAAAATCGGTGTTTGTACGAGCAATGTTTGTGTAATGTGTGTGCGAATGAAAAAAGTATGTTTGATAAGCCGCTTGTGTAGTCTATTTGGGCCTTAAAAGTAAATTAAAATATTAAAACTTATATACTAATAGAAATCACAGCATAGTGTATCACAGTTTGGTTAATTAAATTACTTACAATATATAAAATAAATAAATATTAAAACTTAACCCTATATATATAATAAATACTTACCTCTACATTGCACATAAAATCTAACCTAAAATTTTGTGAATTATATACTTATCCTATATATTATACTTACACTATATACTTACCCAAAGTTCAATATACATATGTATATACGGTTTATAACGTTTTTGAAAATGCCAAATTCTTCTTATTTACCTAATTCCTTATTCCCGCGTAAGTAAACCCACAATACCCATCTCCCTCTAACCCCTAAATAAACATTGGTCCAATCGAGCCTTTAAAAAAGAAACGGCTACATTAGGGTAGAAGGGGGACCATACGCCACTTTTTTTTGAGGCGGCCTCAAATTAAAACCTCAATACATATTCTTAATTTTTTTCTTTTTTCGGATGCTTAGATATGTTGGCTTTAGTTTTATCCCTTTCAATCTTTCTTTAGTCATCCTCATGTACATATTTTTTTAACTTTTCCGCACTGACCAAAAACGGCGATACCGCCCCATCCAAGGGGTAAATACGCCAAGGGGATGGTGCAGATTTGTCATTAGTAAAATAAGCCAAAAAAATTAAAAAATAAAACCTTATTTTGCTGTTTTATATTTTAATTCACTAAACAAAGTATAATAAACTAGATATTTATTGTTTATTTCACATAACTTAACAAAAAAAATTAAAACAAATTATTACTGATTTTTTCTATATTTTAACCAAATTTTGTTCTACATCACAAGCATTACATATATTTGGCGAATGTGCACCACGGGCAGTTCTGGGGTTTAGTATCAATTTTTTTCGGGCTTAAAATTATATTATCGAAAATATTATTATGTCTTATTGTTCACTATTATTGGCGTTCTATCACTGACCAATATACTTTTTCTATCACAAAAACTAAAAAAGTTAGTACAAAAAATTCACACAGTGAAATATTTTCACAGCCCTTTGAAAAACAATTAATCACGTCTGCCTCCCATCATATGTAAAGTTAATCTTTCAAACTTTCAGGGATGATAGATAATCGATAAACGAAAATAAAATTTGATAATGCGATAAAATCGATTACTCAGTTTTCAAGTTATTCGCTTTGGCAGATGTGCCCCTATGGAGCATGATCCCCCTTCTACCCTAATAATAAAAAATACAGTCCACAAAAATAAAGCTGAAAAGAAAGTAAGCTTAAAAAATAAAAAGTGTGTGAAGTGTGAAAGTAAAAGTAAGCAAAAACAAGTGTATGTGAAAAATTAAAAAACCCACCCTTAAAAATAAAACTAAAAATTAAAAATCATAAATTAAACAATTAAAATACCATACAAACAAAACATAATATAAACTAAAAACAAACAAAATTGTGTAAAAAATATTAAACAAAAAGAAAACAAAGTGTAAATAGAACAAAAAATTACAAAAGACAATAAAAAGTTACACCAAATAAAATTGAAACAATTTTAAAATAAACAAAAAACATTTTACATAACAAAAAAAAAAAAAACAGTGGAAACAGAAAAATATAAAACACATTAAAAATAAAACCAGATATTATTAACAAAAAGCACACAACAAAATTACAGTGAAACCCAAAATATTGTTTTTTAAAATATAAAAAATACCCACATACCCTATCTAATATATTTGTTAAATATATATTAAATTTTATTAATAAAATAAAAAATTACACGAAATACATACACAAATAACATTTAAACAATAATATTTAAATCATTATTTAAAAGTACATACATTTAAAAACAAAATATTTTATTTAAACAATTATAAACAATATTAAAAAGTAAAACAACATCACAGTAGTTTTAAAAATATTAAAAAACATTGATACCCAAAAATAAATAAGAAATAAAATACACATAAAACATATACACACGCTTAAACATAGAGACACAGCTTACATATTACAACAACAACACTACACACAAGATCAACATACTTCATAACGGGAAGAAGGTGTAAAGAAGAATTGACAACACAAGAGATTATTTTTGGTTTTTCTCTTGTGAAGGTTTGTACCCTACCCCCAGCAAACAAGTTAAGTGTATTTTTTTTACATCTTACTAAATATTTTTTAAATTTCCATTTTTTGTAATAAACTAGCGTTATTTATCAGACAATACAATATAAAAATATTTTCTATTTATAAACCCACTCACCCACCCACCCTGTTAATAGAATTTTCGAAATATTTTTATATATTGCTTGATTAAGCTAATATTACCACCCGAATTGTGTAGCGTACCCATACACACATAAAATACTCTGTCGGAAATTTAAGTTTGCTGTTACAAATTTTTTTTTAGATTTTTAATAAATTACCCAATATGTCTACTTTAGAATCTGTTGTCGCCGATTTATTAAGATACATCCAAACAGATTCCAAATCATTTGATGAAGATTATCGCGCCACCCCGGAAAATTTCCAATCTCTACCCGCTCTTAAATTCCAAAAACGGGAATTAAGTGAATTATGGGCTAAAATTGACCGTAAATTCACCCAAGTTAGAGAATCCGCCGATATTCTTGACCCTAAGAAGGCTGAAGCCATAAATTTAAGTGAAGTCGTTAGACAAGTTAGATCTGCTAAAGGTTTTTATAGGTCAAGCATGATCTCGATCGACGAATCGATTGAGGAGATCACAAAAGCAAACGAAACCCGACCATCATTACCCGAACCCCCACAACAAGCAGCGAAGCCAAAGAAATCGTTGACAACGCACCCCTAACTAATGATGGCTTTCTCATTGCGTGGACCCAACTCGTCTCTCAATTTGAAAATAGACGAATGCAAATCAATGCGCAATTAAAAACCCTTTTTAATTTACCCACAGTAAGCACCATGTGTAGTGCTTCTATAAGAAAGCTTCAAAGAAAGATTAATTGTTGTATTGCTAATTTAAATTCATTAGAAATTGATACGGATAATTGGGATCCTATCTTCGTATATCTTTGCTTATCAAAACTACCCAAAGAAACCCAAAGAGAATTTGAAAAAACTCTCAATGATAGCGCTGAAATGCCGCCATGGACGAATCTTGATGTGTTCTTAACGAACACTTTTAAGGAACTTACATCAGTAAACGATGTTCCAGATTCGAATCCTAATACCCACCCTAACACCCACTCTAAACCCAAACATTTTACTGAAAGTAAATATAACCCTGACAGAAGAGCCAAAGCCTTTCACAATGTAACCCATTCTTCAAAGAAAACCCAACCAAACCCCAAACCTCAAAATGAACAAAAATTCTCTAACCCAACCCATATACCCAATTCAAATACCCTAAAGAATGCAAATGCCCAAAAGAAACCAAATGCACAAAACACCCAAACTAAACTCTATGGGTCTATTTGCAAACTTTGTGAAAAGAATCACACCCTAAGATAATGTTCTTCATTCAATTCTTTAGAATTAAACCAGAGAATTGAATTTGTAAATGAGAATGGAATATGTTACAATTGTTTAGCTACTGGACATGTCATAAAAGATTGTTATAGCACATTTAAGTGCAGATATTGCGGCGGTAAACATAATTCGCTTTTACACAAGCCGAATTCTAACCCTAACCCACATGTTGAAAATACTCAGGCGTCAACATCGCACAATGCAGTACAGTCTTTCTCAACCCACACCCAATCAAGCAAACCCATACCCATAGATGACAGAACGAAGTTATTAGGAACTGCAGTTCTGAATGTTGAAGTTCAAGATGAATTATTTCCAGCTAGAGCGCTTATTGACCCAGCTTCAGACTTCTCGTTTATCACAGATAAACTGAGAAGGAAGCTAAAATTACCCACTACACCCATAGTTGCTGAAATATCAGGATTGAATAAAATAGTTTCAGCTCGTTCGAATAAACTATGTCAAGTTCTATTGCGCTCTAACACACAAAATGAATTTAAATTGAATATCCAAGCAATTCTTGTTAAAACACTAACCAAAAACTTACCCACCCAAAATTTATACCCCATCCTAATACAAGACTTGGAAAATATTCAATTGGCTGACCAAAAATTCTACGAAAGTCGACCTATAGACTTTATTATTGGCAGCGATTTTTACCCACAGATTTTAAAATCTGGAGTACGAAAAGATCTTCTTAATACCCTTATAGCTCAGGAGACTGAGTTTGGCTGGATTTTAACAGGACCCGTTCAGAATTCGCAAAATACCCAACCCTTAGTTTCTTACTTCAGTTCAGTCACGCTTGATAAAATTTTTACCAAGTTCTGGGAAATTGAAGATGTACCCACCCAACCCAAAGTTTCAGAAGAAAGTTCTTCATGTGAAGAAACCTTTATGACCACTACCCTTCGATTACCAAATGGCCGTTATCAGGTAAATTTACCATTTATATACCCTCCTGTCGAGTTAGGAAACTCTAGACACGTTGCTATGGCTCAATTTCTACGTGACGAGAAAAGTTTAATAAAAAAGCCAGAGCTTAAAATGGAATATGATAAGGTGCTACAAGAGTATATCGATTTAGGTCATATGAAACCAACTAAATATAACCCAAACACTCCTTCAAACACCCATTATTATTTACCACATCACGCTGTTGTTAAACTTGATCGCGTTACGACAAAAGTTCGAGTTGTATTTAATGCATCTAGCAAAACCTCGAATAGCAACAGTCTTAATGATACCCTACACACTGTTCCTACCCTACAGCAAGATTTAGTTGTACTTATCTTGAAATGGCGCTTTTACATGATAGTTTATAATGCCGATATTACAAAAATGTACCGGCAAATTATGCTTAACCCTACCCACACACTCTTCCAACGAATATTATTCCGTAAAAGCGTCAACGAGCCCATTCAAGATTATGAACTGCAAACAGTTACATTTGGTGTTAACTGTGCGCCATATCTAGCTATTAGAACTCAACACAAATTAGCCGATGACATTCAAAATACCCACCCTATAGCTTCGCAAATATTGCGAAACAACATGTATGTTGACGATGTCTTAGCTGGAGGTCACACAATTGAGGAAGCTCAAAAAGCTCAATACCAATTGATCGCTGCTCTTGACTCTGCTGGTTTTCCTTTGAGAAAGTGGATTTCCAATACAAAGGATTTATTACAAAATTTACCCGAAGAACATCTACTAGATGTTGATTTACTCACCCTACCCGAATCAAATAATGCTAAACTGTTAGGCATTCGTTGGAACGCTAAGGAAGATACGCTTTTCTTTAATGTACCCTTAATTGAAGGAAAATCAGCATACACAAAGCGAACTGTGTTATCAGACATTGCTCGTCTTTTTGACCCAGCTGGTTGGTTAGCGCCAATTGTTATATCTGCCAAGATTATTATGCAGCAAATTTGGCAAGATAATACAGCTTGGGATGAATGTCTTAACCCCTTATAAAATGGCAAAAGTTTTTGCAGTTCTACGATAATATTAATATAATTCGTATTCCAAGATGGATTAACTTTTCACCTTCAGCAAAAATTGAGTTTCATGGTTTTTCAGATGCTTCTGAAAAAAGCATACTCTGCTTGTCTGTATGCACGAGTAACAGCCATAGACGGACCTAATTCCGTAACCCTACTCTTCGCTAAGATGAGAGTTGCGCCAATCAAAGTAATCTCGCTACCAAAACTTGAACTTTGTGGTGCAGTGTTGTTGGCAAATATGACACATAATTTACTCAACCTACCCTTACATCAGACGTATTTCTGGACCGACTCATCTATAGTTTTGGCCTGGCTTAGTAAACACCCTAACTCGTGGAACACATTTGTAGCAAACCGAGTTTCTACAATAATCCAGACTGTCGGCGTTGAAAATTGGAACCATGTTGCTTCACACGATAATCCTGCCGATGTTGCTAACCGAGGATGTAATGCTGATGAGTTAAAAGATGACACTTTTTGGTGGAATGGACCATCGTGGTTGAAAGAAGTCGCGTCGAAGTGGCCAACAACAAATAAACACTTTATTACTCAAGCTGAAGCTAAAGTTAGTCAGTCGTTTACTACGACCGTTAATATCCACCCTTCCTTGGTTAATACGAATACTGAAAACCCAGATATATTATCAAGATTTTCGAAATTGTCAAAAGCTCTAAGAGTAATGACATATGTCTATCGATTTTGTGATCGCGCATCATATACCCGAAGAAATACAATTCGAAATGATAGAGTTATTCTTGATCGAAATAACCCACAACTAGTCAATGATAGACTACGTTTATTAACTACCCACCCAAGTATTGAACTTGATGCGTCAGAGATCAAATCTACCCGTGATAGACTTATTATTCTTTGTCAGACAGAATATTTCAACAACGAATATAACTGTTTGAAGAGAAAATACCCTGTATGAAACAAAAGCGACCTGCTTACCCTAACGCCATTTTTAGATTCTGCAAAGATAATGCGTGCAAATGGTAGACTAGCAAATTTCAACAGTTTGTCCTATTCCGAAAGACACCCTATATTAGTACCCTATAAAAGTGCATTTGCTAAGCTACTAGTACAACACGTCCACCTGGTAACCCTGCATGGTGGAAATCAACTTATGTTGAGAATAATTCGATCAGGATATTGGATTCCGAAGCTTAAGAATCTGATTAGTAATGTTGTTAACAAATACTCACCCTGCATAAGATATAGGAATAGACAAACAACCCAATTTATGGCGGCGTTGCCACCAGAAAGAACCCAAATTGATTAAGCTTTTACAAATGTTGGAGTTGATTTTGCAGGACCATTTGACGTCAAGGCATATAGTGGCAGAACTTGTAAAATAACGAAATGTTACGTTTGTGTTTTTGTTTGCTTTGCAACAAAAGCCATAGAGCGACAGGAATACATCAGGCAATTGAAAGGTTCCGTTATATCTACTAACAGTTTTCAGAATTTGACGTGGCATTTTATACCCCCAGGTGCACCACACATGGGCGATTTATGGGAGGCAGGAGTTAAAAGCTTTAAAGCTCATTTGAGGAAAATAAATACCCTGAAATATACATTTGAAGAGCTAGCTACACTCCTTGCTCGAATAGAAGGATGCCTAAACTCGAGACCCTTAAGTCCGTCAAGTGAAAACCCTCAGGATCTTAACCCGTTAACCAGTGGACACTTTTTAATTGGCTCACCCATACTTACCCCTGCAGAACCCGACACAAGCAGTGATAATATAACCCTGGCTAACAGATGGCAAAAATTAAAGATACAACATCACAACTTTTGTAAAAGATGGAAAGATGAATATCTTAAAGAGCTCCATAAAAGATATAAGTGGAAAACCCCTACCCGAAAAGTTGAAATAGGTGATATTTTAGTAATTAGACAAGACAATTTAGCACCCAACGAATGGTTACTTGGACGTGTGACCAAAACACCCTGGTTCTGATGGTAGAAATAGAGTAGTTGACTTACAAAATTCAACTGGAACTCTAACCCGACCAATTACTAAAATTGTTGTTTTACCCGCTAATTAGTCTAATACTTTTACTAACCCAATATGACAATATCGTTAATTATTTCAACTAAGCCATACACTAACCCAAATATATTATGAATAACATTTAATACTTCACCCTAACACACTAACTCATTCATAATATTTCATTTCATAACCCATTTTCTATTTCTACACAGAATGGCACGCAACAATAAGCATGGTTCAAAGTCCAGACGTTCTGGCCATCGCAATGAGCGCTCCCACAAGGCAAACGTTTCTCGCCGCAAAGGAAACCGAAATCATCATCGCCATACCGAGCCCACAAAACATTTTGGTTGCGGCATCTGTAAAGCTGACCACCGTTTGACAAACTGCCATAAATTCAACAAAATGAATTTGGCGCAGAAGTATCAAACGGCAGTCAGCCTACATTATTGCGTGAATTGATTGGCGAGAAATCATTTAATAGGCAGCTGCACCAGCAAGGCTCGTTGCCAACAATGTGGTGGTAAACACCACTCCACCCTACATGGTCCAAATAGGATCTTAAAGAATTTGTTACAAGACCGATCCCCACCACCAACTCCAGCTCCAAGAACTCAACCCATACCAGCACCACGTCATTCCATAGCAACAACAGCCATAACCACACCAATTACAACATCCATGACGAAAACCTTCGTACCGACTGTAGTTGTCCAGATGATCATGGAAAGCGGAAACCGGATAGCAAGGGCCATATTAAACCCCAGCCTAACAAAGTCCCGAATTGCATCCGTGTTAGTACGAGACACCAGTTTGAAACCCTTCACAATCGACAACGAGGTTTTCGTCAAAGTGTTAATTGGACCAAATCTAACATCAAACGTTAGATACGAGGTTTGTATGGAAGTTGTTAAAGATCTTCCAAAAACCCCTTACCCAAACCCAATGGGCGAAGCCATTAAAAACAAAGTTTGTCGTATCTCACTTGCTGACCCCGAATTTTATTCGAACAAATCTGTCTCTATGGAGATTGGAGGAGATTTATACATCAGCATTCTTCAGCTCAATGTAATCCACATCGACGGGGGCTCACTTATAGCTCAGGATTTTACCCTTGGCTGGCTGGTCATAGGATCCTCTACCCAATAAACCCACACACAATGAAGTATTTTACATGCATAATTTACCCTATTACCCTACACCATTTTTATTGAATAAATAAAAATAATTGTTCCTTTCTCTTCACAGGTTGCCAGGCCCGGGAAGATGTTCACATTAGTGAACAATTGAAAGATACCATCCTTGAAGTCCAATAGCACCCACACCAAACTGCAGCCAACTTCATTTTTATACGAACGTCAGCTACAGTTTTTGCTTTTTTAGTTACTTATATACTATATATACTCTAGTGGGGCTACAACCAATATTTCGATGTGTTACAAACGGAATGATAAAATCAATATAGGTACCCCCCATCTTTTTTGATTGTGGGTATAAAAATATTCTAGTCGAGTATTTAGAGTATATTTTTGTAAAGCACCTTTGGTCAAATTTTTTTGATTTTCTTATTATTAAAAAAATTTATTTGTAATATTGATTGGAATAACTGTTTGATAAAATTTTATCAATCTTAGGATTATATTCCAATTATCATAATTAATTTGCGGCTGAAATATTGTGGATGTGTTGGAATGCCTATGAAAATTGCCTAAACAAGGACTTCAGAATAAGCTAGGATTACATAGTACTTTACGTTTAACAGATGTGTCCCACTTTTTTCCTATTTTTTTTTTACATTAAAGAAATAATGTAAATCAGACGACTAGATCTAAAGTTATAAACTTTTAAACTGTTAAAAATCAGTTCGGGACATGTTTTATTAATCAAATTTAGACATAAACATTAATTTTTTAAAATTAAAATAGATTTTTATTTATAATGAAAAACCGGTTAACCGGTTTTTTTCTGAATATGAAAAATATCAACCGGTTTTTTCAAATATCAACTATTCGAACTATTCGAAAACCGGTTTATGGAAAATGTCGAATAATCGATCACTCGATCACACTTTTACAGACTTAATGGTGAAACAGAACACGACTGTAACTTCAAGCAAAAACTTTGGCAAAACGACATAGGACCATAATTAAAGCTACGGCAGTAACTACAAATTCTCTCATATTTCTATTTATTTTCTTTTGTTTTTATTTTTTTGTAGCCTATTTACATGGTTTTGTTTATAAAATATATGAAAATATTTTGAAAGTATGGTAATGCTGTTGAGAGAATGAGTACCTAAAAATGTGAGCATAAAAATAAACGCTCTCAAAATAAAATAAAATCTATTTTTACAAGCGCATTCTACGACTTCAAAAAATGCCAATTTGTATAAAAAAAAACGCTATGACCCAGTTCTGTTTCATCATTTAAAAATACGAGTAGAGCGATGAAATTATGTCGAATATTGACTTATATGAACCAAAATTGTTCTACAAAATTTTACGAGGATAGGTCCCTACGCCCCATATAAGGCCCCATGAGATAATGACTTTAACGCACACTACTGGCTTAAAAATGCGAGTACAACGACGACATTCAACGTAAACATGATTTGTATGAACCAAAGTCGTTAACGTTCAGCACTGAGCGTGATAGCCAATTTTTGACGAATTGCATAGTTCTACTAGACCTATGAAATTCGACATAAACTAGTTTTGTATGAGCTAAAATCTCTCTATCAAATTTTACGAGGTTCAGTCCATAAGTGACCCTACCTCGCATATAAGTTCCCTCTCAGAATCTCACTTAAACGCTCATTATTGGCTGAAAAATGCAAGTTCAATGATGAAATTCCACATAAATATGATTTGTATGAACCAAAATCGTTCGATTTTACGATAATCGGTTCATATTGATCCTACCCCCGCACATAAGGTCCCCTTCAGAAAAGTACTTTAACGCTTATTACTGGC